CCCGGCAGGGAAGGGGGCGGAATGTGTGTTGGTGCTGGTGTGTGTGCTGGTGTGTGTGTTGGTGCTGGTGGAACTCCGCCCGCAGCAGAGCTCCCGGGCCCAGGGGGGCGCTCTGGACCAGAAAACGCGCGTTCAGCTCTTGCCTGAGCAGCTCGTGATCTACAAGAGAAAAAGAGAGAGACAGAGAGGCACGTCGGCCGCGGGCTCCCGGCGGGGCGAGGCGGATAGTCACCTGGCACTCCCGGTTTCGGCAGGCCAAGCCGTGGTGGCCGCTCGCTAGGTGCGGGCCCCAGGGTGGAGGTAAGAGAGGTGCCTGTGACCAAGTACCAATCAGAATCCCCGAATGAGGCTGGCAATACATGATTGGCTGGCTGAATGAGATCAACAGGCTGGCATCTAAAGGCAAGAGAGAACACCGTGAGCCACCCTGGGAGCCCCGGGAGACAGCCCCTGCCCGTCCTGGCCACTACCCTGGGGAGCCCGTCCAGTCACCCCCAGACCACTGTCCTGGTCCCATCCTGGGGTGCCAAGCTGCCCCAACCCTGACTTAGAACTTTAGAAAGATACTAACACCCACAGAGATGACCTGAGATTGGGCCACGAAGGGGCACCTGCTGGAATCAAGCAGGAAGGGAGAGGCCAGGCTGGGCCAGGCCGGGTGCTGTTCACCTGGGACCCCTCTACTCCACAGTTCAGCCCTGCTGCCCACCCCCCACCCCCAGCAGCCTAGGAATGAGGGATGGGAGCAGCTCCAAGCTCCACCAACCCCGTCCCAGGCAGCCTGATCAGGCCTGGCAGGGGTTCAGGATGAAACAGGGTGTATATATGTCTGTGTGCTCATGTGTGTGCAACTATGTATCTGTGTGCGTGTGTGCAGGACCGAGGCCCAGGCAGGAAGCTTCCTCTGCCCTGGGAAAGGCAGCTTGCTGGGGCTACAGGCTCTGGGGCCCCGCCATCCGGCCCAGTGGGTCTGGAGGAGCAGGTGGGAGAGAAGTCTGCGCCTCGGAGGCTGGCACCCCTCCCCCCAGGGGTGAGGACCCCAGAGTGGAGGTGGGCAGACAGTGACCCCGGCCCAGCCCACGGTGCCCGGACCTACCGGCAGGGTGTCCTGGGATGACCAGGCTGTTGGCCGGCAGCGCCGGGGGCGGGGGCAGTGTCGGGGGGGCGGCGAACATGGCCGCCGCGTGGTGCTGGTGCTGGGCCTGCGAGCGGAGCGCCAAGTGTGAGGTAGAGAGGTGGGGGCCTGGCCCGTGAGGCGACAGG